ACAACTACATAAGGTCTCAAAGGACCTGTGCAGTTCTGTCCAGCTGTGGCCCACCTTCTCTTCTCCCTCCATACCAACCAGTTCTGGCTCTCTTAGCTGTGTGTGTGTGTGTGTGTGTGTGTGTGTGTGTGTGTGTGTGTGTGTGTGTGTGTGTGCGCGCGCGCGCGCACCCGTGCTCACTACTAGGGCTTAAGCTCAGGCCCTATGTGCTGTACTTTTAGCTTTTTCTGCTCAAGATTGGCACTCTAACATTTGTGCCACACCTCCACTTTTGCCTTTTTGGTAATTGGGGATGAGTGTCACAAGCTTTCCTGCATGTGCTGGGTTTTTTGAGCCAAGATCCTCAGATCTAAGCCTCTTGAATAGCTAGGATTACAGGTGTGAGCCACTGGCTTCCAGCTCTCTTAGCTCTTAAATATGCCTGGCTTAGCTCCATTGTAGAAATGTTCTTCAAGATGTCTAAGCCCCTCTGGGAGCCAGTGGCTCACGCCTGTAATCCTAACTACTCAGGAGGCTGAGATCTGAGGATCGTGGTTCAAAGCCAGCCCAGCCAGGAAAGTCTGTGAGATCAGTAAACCACCAGAAAACTGGAAGTGGTGCTGTGGTTCAAGTGGTAGAGCTCTAGCCTTGAGCTGAAGATCTGAGGGACAGCACCCAGGCCTTGAGTTCAAGTCCCATGGCCAAAACAAAGAAATATGACTACCCTCTCACCCATCTAATAGACCATCACATGGGTACACCCCTGTTGGTCCCCATCAGGATATCTGTACCTGTGGGCTACTTAGAATACACCAGTCCAAGCTTCTTTGGGGAGGAGTCTCCTCCATAGTACCTCTGTAAAGTGGGGTCAACTCCATGACTGACCTACACTTCAGTCTCCCATTGAGTCCTTCCTATATGGCACTTTCTCTAGTCACCTAAACTCTAGCACAGGGCTCCTGAATGTTGTTATTTCCTAACAAATGCCCTTGCACTTCCTTCTGGTTCAGTTTCTACCTTAAAAATGGTTGGCTTAAGAATAGCAAGTAGTTGGAGGGTCCTCAGAAAGCTAAAGATTGACCTCCCTTATGACCTAGTCATACCTCTTCTAGGCATCTACCCTGAACAATAGGAACCAATATACATGGACACATGCACCTCCATGTTTATTGCAGCACTGTTCATAATAGCCAGGATATGAAAACAACCCAGATGCCCCACCACAGATGAATGGATCCAAAAATTGTGGTATCTATACACAATGGAATATTATGCAGCCATTAGAAATGATGAAATAATGGCATTTGCAGGGAAATGGATGGAGCTAGAAGAAGTCACATTGAGCAAGGTAAGCCAAGAGCAAAGAGACAAACGGTACATGGTCTCCCTGACAAGTGGATGTTAAATCCAAAATGTTAGGTGATACGACAAAATTAACAGGACTCAAGAAACAAAGAACTTCCACTCATCTGGTCAAACCACTACTAAATATCCCCATGCTGCTGATCACATGTATGGTGTATATGTGTACGCCGTTATATGTTATAGACTGTGATAGACAATTTGCTCCAGGAAAGTTAGAATGAACTTGTGACTTTAAATGAGCATCACTATCCCACAATATTGTAAAATTTGGAAAATTATGTAATCACTTAATCACAAAAAAAAAAAAAAACACCAGAAAACTAGAAGTGGCGCTATGGCTCAAGTGGTAGAGCATGAGCCTTGAGCTGAATTGAAAAAAAAAAAAAAAAAGAATAGCAAGTAGTAAGTTCAAGGTTGGATGCTAGTGGCTCACACTTGTAAACCTTGCTACTCAGGAGGCTAAGATCTGAGGATTGCTGCTTAAAGCCAACCAAGTAGGAAAGTCTGTGAGACTCTTGTATCCGATTAACCAGTAAAAAGCCAAACGTGGAGGTATGGCTCAAGTGGTACAGGCACCAGCCTTGAGTGAAGAAGCTAAGGGGACAGTGCTGAAGTCAAGCCCCATTACTGACACTAAGCAAACAAATAAATAGAAGTAGTAGATTTAGACGTTTGTACAGCTGTAGATACTCAGAAGGGCTTATTTCCACAAGGTATTGCCCCTGCCTGTATAAGTTACCTTTATAAAATGAGGAGAGGGCTGGGAAGGTGGCTCAGTGGTAGAGCGCTTGCCTTGCATGCATGAGGCCCTGGGTTCGATTCCTCAGCACCACATAAGCAAAAAAAAGCCAGAAGTGGCGCTGTGACTCAAGTGGTAGAGCGCTAGCCTTGAGCTGAAGAGCTGAGGGACAGCGCCCAGGCCCAGAGTTCAGGCCCCATGACAGGACTCTCAAAAAAAATTATAAAATGAGGAGAGAAAGGGGAACCGATTTCAGAATTGACTACCACTCATCCGTTCAATAACTTATTCAGTGATTTTTACCCAATTTCCATCAAGTTCCAGCCATAGAACTGGACACGCAGAGATTAAGTGGGGAAGAAAGCAGATGAATTATTGTAACCCTCACAGAGGGTTTTGGCTGGAAAGACAAATCCAAACAGACAAGCTATCAATATGCTGATGTGAAGACTTCATAACTGGAGAATGTCAGGGAGATTTCTTTGAGGAATAGGAACAGGGAAAATGGGTGAGAAATCTAGGAGGGCTTCCTGTCTGAAGCTTCATCCTAGTTAAAAATTAATTATCATCACCATAGCCCTAAAGGATGATGGTGGATATCTCCCATTTCACTTATCTCTGAAGGTAAGAGCAATTGAATGACTTACCAAAAGTTAGGGAGGCATGAAAGGATAGTTGGATGTCAAACCAAGATTTTTCTGGCTCAAGAGTATTAGACCTAAAAACCTGGTCTCCGGGGCTTGGAAGGTGGCTCAGTGGTAGAGCGCTTGCCTTGCTTGCATGCGTGAGGCTCTGGGTTCAATTCCTAAGCATCTCATAAGCCAAAAAAGCCGGAAGTGGCACTATGGCTCAAGTGGTAGAACTCTAGCCTTGAGCTGAAGAGCTGAGGGACAGTGCCCAGGCCCAGAGTTCAGGCCCCATGACCACAAAAAACAAACAAACAAACAAAACCTGACCTCCATTGCCTGTTTGAATGGGTCAATGCTGATAAAGGGAGGCCTGAGGAATAGAAGGGCTGCCTCCATTTGAGGCAGGGGTCAAAGGGAGCCTAACTCTGCCAGCCTCCATCCATGTACCAGTGTCCAGACACACTCAGAAATTGTCCAGAGTCCTGAGAGTGGCCAGGGCCAGAGCTGCCCAGTACCTACCACTAAGGGCTCTGTGCCCTCCACAAGTCTCCCTGCCCAAGGTTCGAGGAGACAAAAGGCAGAGATGCTTATTCTAAGTCCCAGTGACACTCAGACCTTTCACCCTCTGCTAGTCAAAACGTGAGCTATCAGCTTTGAATCCAGTCTGGAAAACTCCCTGAATCCCTAACTCTCCCCACTCAGCTTTCAGCTTTGGGCAACAGCTGGTACCCCAACCTCCTGAGCATTACTGAGACCAAAACAGTCCCTGGACACGGAAGGGATGCCAGGCTGCAGGACTGCAGATGGCTGCTCCTTCCTAACGCAGGGCAGCTGTCTCCTTTCATCTTCCCTTCCCTGTCACTCCAAGGCAGGGTGGTCCTTCACTTCGCTTCCTCCCCCTGTCCTCTTCCCTCCTCCACCCTCCCTTCCTCACTTCATCACGATAGCAACATTTGCTATCTCGCCTCTGAAACCATATGATGAATTGGCCTGAATTTGGCTCTAATACTTACTACGTGTGTGGCTCTGAACCAAATACATTAACTTCTCTGTGACTCAATTTTATCTCCTGTAAAATGGGTGGAGATGTGTAAACTCCCTCATAAATTGCAATAATAACATGAGGTCGTAATCGCACAATGCTTAGAACAGCACCGAAGAGGAACTATTAGACAGTGTTTGTATAATGAATCCAATCTAAATAAGCTAAGGTGTTGGGGGAGGGGGTGGAACAAGTACAGGATGTATGAGGGACTAACCACTTATCAGGGATCTCCGCTATTTTTTCTCTGGGATCACTTTGCTACTCTGGCTGCTGCATCTTCTTTCTAAATCCTGACATGACCACCTACATCCCCTGCTCAAATTCTTCAGTGGTTTCCCGTTGTGGGCTAGCTCACAGGTCAAAAACGCTCCAGCCCCATCTTTCCCATCTCCCCAGCACCTTGGATTCAGGACCCAGACTTTCTCCAGTGGTGGGGGAAGGGGCAGCACTTTACACCTGCTCTTCCCTCCCACCCATCTTCCTTCTGGATGTCCCCTCCCCCCCCCCCCACTAAGACAGTGGCCAGAGGAAAGCGGTCCCCTAGGGAGGGAAAGAGAGAGCAAGGAAGTGACAGCAACTCAGAACTGTAGTTTTCTCCAGCTTCTAGAGGAAGACAATAAGAGCGAGGACCTTTCAAGATCAAAGGAGGGGAGGGCACACGAAGTGAACGCTCAGAAACTAGCAAGTGGCACGGTCCACGTTCTCACCTAGTGATGGCTAAAGGGTTGTTGGGGAGGGAGGGGCGCCCAGGCCTGTCAAGCTACCCCCCACCTACCCCCACTTCATCCCCACCAGGCTCTCAGAGGTAAATCTGCGGTGGAAGAGGATGGGGATAGGATGGCGGGGGGTGGGGGGGGGTGGCAATAAAGGAAAAAGAAGGAAGGTGAAAGGTTGAGAGCATGTGGCAAGGGACGGAGGCAGAGGTGACCTGGGGTGCTCCTCCAGCCCTGCAACCCCACTCCCGGGTCTCGGGGGGGCCCCCCATCCGCCCTCTGCCCGGGCGGGCGGGCGGGGGAGGGGCGGCGCGGCGCCGGGAGGAATGAATAATTGAAGGGGGGAGGGAAGAGGGGAGGAGGGGGGGAGGAAGGAGAGGAGGAGAAGGGACCGGAGGGGAGGGAGAGCAGGGAGGAGGCGGAGGGGGAGGAGGCGGGAGCCGCCCGCCCGCCCGGGCCCTCCCCGCTCCGCACCGCACCCCCTCTCCTCCGCCGCCCGGAAGTCGCTCCCCGCCTCCTGCTCCGCCAACATGGCCGCGAAGTCGGATGGAGCGGCGGCCGCGGCCGGCCCGGGGCCGGAGGGGGCGCCCGGAGCGGCGCGGGGCAGCGCGGGCGGGCGCGAGGAGGCGGCGGCCGGGGCCGGGGCCGGGGCCGCGGCGGGGGCCGAGGCGGGAGGCCCGGGCCCGCGGTACGAGCTGCGGGACTGCTGCTGGGTGCTGTGCGCGCTGCTCGTGTTCTTCTCCGACGGCGCCACCGACCTGTGGCTGGCGGCCTCGTACTACCTGCAGGGGCAGCGCACCTACTTCGGCCTCACCCTGCTCTTCGTGCTCCTGCCCTCGCTCGTCGTGCAGCTGCTCAGCTTCCGCTGGTTCGTCTACGATTACGCCGAGCCCGCCGGGGCCCCGGGGCCGGCCGTCAGCACCAAGGACAGCGCCGCGGGCGCGGGCGTCGCCATCGGCACCAAGGACAGCGCCGGCGCCTTCAGGACCAAGGAAGGCGGCTCCGAGCCCGGGCGCCCCCGGCCCGCGCCCTCCTCGGCCCGCCACCGCCGCCGCTGCTGCCGCCTCTGCGTCTGGCTGCTGCAGACCCTCGTCCACCTCCTGCAGCTCGGCCAGGTCTGGAGGTAGGAGACGAGCAGGTGGAGGGGGCTGAGCCCCAGGAGATAGGGGCTGCGTGGAGGGGTGGGGTGGGGGCGCAAGTAGCTGCCTGCACCCCATTCCAGCTCTGACCTTTCCGCCCCCCCACCCCCACCCCGTCCTGACCTGACCTCGGCCCCGCCCCACTTCGTTGCAGCTTTCATTTCTTCTCCTGCACCTCCTGACCTCTGACCCCGAACCCTGTCCAGCCCCGGAGCCATCCATTCGGATCTGGCCATTGCAAGGGGCAAAGGAGGAGGCATGGAAGGAGGGAAGGAGCCCCTCGGGGTTGTGTGAATGAGGAGGACGGGGGATTTTGAGGATGGGTGCGAGGCTTGGAACAGGGTCACAGGGCTCCCCACCACTCTGATCCTCCCCTTCTCTGGGAGTATGCAGAGTCTGGACTTAGGAAAGATCTCAGAAGTCCTTCCTTGCTCTCAAAGAAGCTCATTTTTTTTTCAATAGCAGCCCCTGTCCAGCCTTCCTGAAGAGACATTGGAGGCAGTTAAATGACTATCCCGCCTAAACTTCTTGAGCTTCTTTTGGGAGAAAGGGGGAGGGGGGTGCTGGACCCACCTAGGAAGCTCTCTGGCTCCTTCTACTTCCTAAGGACTCAATCAGTAACCTCCTTCTCCAAAAAGGGTCAAGAGGATTTGGAATCGTGAACCTGACACTCTATGGCCACTGGCTGCCCTTTAATCCTGAGATGGTGGGAAATACTGAGGCTTTGTTCAAACTGCTCATTTCCAGGCCTCTTCCTCTGCCAGGATGAAGGGTGCCTGCTGGGCTGAGTTAATTGGAGAGAGGGTGAATTCTAAACTGAGGGCTCCTCTTGAATGTGAATTGTTCTGGAACCTTGGGCTGCGCTGTGCAGTGACAGAATAAATTTACTTACTATGTTATCTTAGGCAAAACCTTCTCCTCCCTCCAAGCCTCAGGTTCCCTTACCTGGGAAATGAGAGTGAATCCCTTCTCTTCTCATCTCATTAGCCCACCATTATAGTTTTCTTATCTGATGGGATGGTCAGATGAGAGAAGGTATGTGTAAGGAGTTTATTTGGGGATGTAATAATTATGATTACAGTAGATGTTGGTGAACAGTAGGGAAAAGTCTCTATAAATATAAAACATGATTATTGCTGTTGTATTATTTATTTTGCTACTTGTTAAAGCATTCTGTCTGACTCAGAAAACTGTTCTGGCCTGAGGGTAGGAAACAGGACTCCCAGGGTTTGTCCCAGCTGTTCACTTGCTGTGTCACCCTTGATGTGTTCTCCAGTCTCTCTCTGCCTTGGTTTCCCCATCTATGCCTGCCAAGATGCTGCGTGTATCTACTTAGCTTGCCCTGGGGGCAAAAGGGTGGAGTGCTAACCACACAAGGTGGTGGTAATATTATTAGCTTGATATACAAAAATATTCGTGTCTACATCCAGGAACTAATCTGCGTTTATCATTCTGTGCCCGAGTGGACAGATGGTGAAAGTTATTTTTAGATTCTGAAATGGTAATTTCCTATTCTTGGTAGCCAAAGCTTCCCCCTTTCCCTTCGACCTAAAGTGGGCCAGCTGCCCCATGACACACTGGCTACCTTCCTCCCCATTCAGCATCCACTTGAAGAAGCTAATAGGTCTTTCCTTTCTTGAACATAAACTTGGGTTCCCTCAATAGGACAAAAAATGACCACAGGCCAGGGAATCTCAGAAGAATGAGAAATGGAAATGATTGAGAGTCCATGGAGATCCATGGTTTCTTAGATAAATGTGCTATTTCCTGGGTTCAGTCTCTATAGTGAAGTATACTTTGAAAAAAGGAAAAAGAGAAGAAAAGAATTATTTCCACTATATCTACAGTTTCCCATTTGTAAAGTGAGAGAGTTAGTTTGAGATGAGTTTTCAGGAATAACAATCTAACGGCTTAGGGGTGGAATCTGGCTTATGGAAGTGTTTGGTGTAGGTTGTATAGTATTTTTAAAACAGACTCCCAGCAATTCTCACAAAAAATTGGCTCTAGCAGTACCAAGCCTGTAACCATTTAGAAAAGGTATATGTGTTCTAGTTTGCCTACTCTTTGATTACATCTGGATCATTTCTCTAGGCACTCACGTAGGCACCAGAGCCCTAATGTTCTGTAACAATTATTTTATTAAGTACTCACCTTGTGCTGCGGCTTGCCAATTGCCTTTAAAGCTGCTTTGTCTCCTCTGTCCCTCCTAATAATCTTGCCAGGCGGTCAATATTGTAGTTTATACCTGACAGATGAAGGAATGCAGGCTATGAGAGAGGACATCCTTGCCCAAGGTCACACAGTGAGGGTTTAGAATAGCCGGGACTTGAGACTCTGCCTTCAGAGCCCAAGTTCAATTTACCCACACTGCTACTAATTCTGTCTCTAAAGTATTCCCCCAAAGCTTGAAGAATTATGGGTCTGAGATGCCAAGATTCTTGGATGATAGAAAGCCAGGCTTCTGTTGCATGGAGATAAGAATGTGAAAGAAGTAGGGGAGCCCAACCCTGTAGGTAAGGGTGAGGAAAAGTGATATGTATTGTGGGAAAGTGCCAGATTTGGGACTGAGAGAAGGACAGGACAGTGACCTTGGACCAGGGTCTTCCTATCTCTGGACCTCAGTTCCCCCATTGTGTGAAAAATGAGATTATATTTGTTAATGAAATGAGGTAGGAAGTGCCTTTCTGGTACTCTATAATGTCCCAGCACGGAGTTGGGTATCAAGGTTCTGCTCAGAACAACTTACCAGGTTATCAAGGTAGATTTGGGCTCTCCGACTCCCTCCGAAAAATACTCTTCTATGTTTAGGCTATAGCATTCTCCTTGTCCCTCCTAACAAGCCCTTCACTCCAGAGAAGCTCTGAAATAGTTAGTGACCTGCTGGGTGCATTTTCTGCCCAGACTAGAGATCACTTAGAGTAGCAAGCAGGACTGAGGTCTGCAGAGTTCTGGAAGGACCTGGTGACAGCCAACTGTCCTCTCTGAATTTAGACACTGCAGTCCATTAGGAGATGCTGCATAGAAATGGCTACTAAAAATGCAAAATCCACATTAGGTCTCCTTACCCAGGCTAGAATTCTGACTCTGGATCTATTATCAAGGCTAAAGTCTCAGGACTCTTGTTCCATACTCTACACCAGCTGAAGAGTTTGGCTGAATGGGGAAAATTCAGAGATGATATACAGAAGCCACCAGGGATAGATTTCCTAGAAATTAAAGCAATGTTGGCACATGTTGAGTTGGCATATCAGGTGTTTATGCAGATGTTTGGAGTGGAGGGCCTGGGCCAATGGGGAAAGAGAGGTGAATCTGGGCCCACTCCAGGGTCAAGCCTGATTGGCTAACTAAATTTTCACTTCCTGATCTCATAACCCTTATTTTCAATACGATTTTCAATTGTAAAGATTTTTTGCCCCCAGCTCTTTAGCCTTGTACATTGCTTAATCAACCACTGAAATGCTTTGAGGAGTCAGGTGGGATATATAAAGTCAAGTCCATGGGGTATCAGACAAGGGGCCATCACAGGGCAAGAAGGGTTCCAGACAAGTGGAAGCTACTGCCTTGCTTCTTCAACAATGCTGTGGGAAATTTTGGGCCAGTACAGTGAAGTCTTGATTTCTCAAGAGAAATGTGAAACTGAATCTTTCTTTTTTTGCATGAACTCTCCCAATTTTCAGCTACTAATTAAGATTCTTAAAAATAGTATCAATGAAAGGAAACACATTTGTGGGTCTGTCTTCTTTGTAACCTCAAGCAAGCTCCTCACTATTGATGAGGTCCTTTTCCCACAGAAGATGTTATAATTTTTTAGCGTCCAATGAAGTAACTCACTAACACTGCATACCTAACCATGACCTACCAGAGACCATGCAAGGTGTTCTAGAAGACTGTTCTCACCTCACCTTGAAATCTTCCCTCTGATGGCTATTTGTCAACCCCATTTGTGAGATAAGGAAGTGCAGGTCACAGTCAAGTGATTTGTCCAAGATCACCCACTCACTTTCAGTGGGGAGAGGTGTGGTACCTATCTGCCTTTGTCCAATCCCCAGTTTCAGCTCTGTCCCTGGCATCACATACTGATTATGCTAGAGGAAATGCAGAACTGTGCTTCCATCAGTGACAGGTTAGATCCCCGAGAGGACAAACCGATCCTTTGGTGAGGCAGGAATCTGTCCATGAGCTGGACACCAGCCTGTGTCTTCATCTCTCCTTTCCTTTCCCATCAGCCCTCTGATCTGGTAAGCCACTGAATGGCTGTTAAACCAATTAAAGTCCTTACCCTATTTCCTGACCCTGTGAGTAGTGGAGCAGTAAGCTGTGAATCCTGCTTTCCCTAATCTTGAACTCATGGGCCCCAGCTTTACACAGATAAGCATGGCTTTCTAAGCCAATTACTGTACGACAACCTGGCGTGGAAATCTTCACAGACTCTCAGGATTTGGACACCTCAAAAGGAAGAGGTGGGGAGGGGGGCAGTTGAGCTTTGGGGACAGGGAGCTAACAACCTCTCCATGTCTAGACCACTAACAAGCCCTGCTCCAGAGAGTTCTGAAATGAGTCAGTGACCTGCCCTGTGTGGAAGTCAGGTTCTAGGTCTTCCCTCTGGGAAGCTAGCTCTTATCTAAGAGCTTGAATTCTGGATCCAAATGTTCCCAGTTCAAATTCTTGACCATCTCTCAGCCCTTCTAAAGTAGGGACCCTAATGGTATCTACCCACAACTTGGGTGGAGTTTAATGAGGTGTATATCAGGGGTTTAGCAAAGGGCTGGCCCCATCATTAATGTTCAAACCCTGTGATCATTATAGTGCTGTCAGCCAGAATTTGCTTCCTGTGAGGGCAAGGTGTGTTCACGGAGCAGTGGCCAGTGAGGAGCCAGGGGGACCCTGAAGCCGTAGGGACACCACAGATGTGTGCTTAATCTGCAATCATTTATTTAGTAGATATTTATGGAACACCTGCTATACATCAAGTCCTGTTCTGAGT